TTGATTCTTTGAGAAAGAGTCACCAGTCATGTTCAAGAGTCATAGAATTAAACCAACATCTTTAAGATATTTTCCAAGCATTTTATGTTTCCCTCATTTTTTTTCAAGATCTTGTCCAAACATCAATAGAAAACAACATTAAAATTATTTTTTATATTATCCTGGATCCAGAAAAAAAAAATCCCTCTCATCATGTTTTATTAATTCTCTGCCTGTTTTCTATATAAACGTGTAATCACATATTCAGGCCTATTTCATTTGTGCCAGGGCTCTCAGCAAATTCTCTCACTGTTGAGCTCTATACAAAAACATGTAATCTACTAAGCAATGTTTCTATCACCTATAAACTGTTCACTCAAATAAACTGGGTGATACACTGGATGTCATTTTTTTCCAAACCAGTATCCAGTAAAAAGTGCAGCAGTACATTCATTTCAGCTTTCTTTTTGCTTTATTGCTTTAAATATAACCTAATAATCAGTGTGCAAAATTAACAAAATAAAAGTAAAAAGAAGTAATAGAATCTCACATGTGCCCTGGTTCTGTAGATATGGTAGTTTTAAAATAGATGTTTTTCCAAGTTAATACATTTGTTATTTCAAAGCCATGAGATTCATTTCAGACCCATGAATGCATGACTGGAAGAAAGTTGGGATTTTACTGTGTTTATTTTACTAAATAATTCAATTCAGTCGTAAAGATGAAGTTCAGGTTTTGGTATTAAATGTGTTTTCCACAAGCATCCCCTGATGAACTCTGACCCCCAAAGTGTCTTTCAGTGTAAATATATCATGGATATAAACATGATAAATTATATTTGACTTCCCGTTTTACTGAAATGTGTCAATTTTCCCCCTTTCCAATTACTCAGAAAACAATACTAAAGTTTGCAGATTTGACTGTCACTTAGCTCCTTTAACCTTATCAGCATTGTTCTTAGTAACTCAGTTTTAAATCTGACCAAATTTGCAAGTCTTTCTTAAATGAAGCTTTAATAGGCACTTCAGTAGCAAATTCTGGCTGTTTTGGTCTGACTTGCACTAACAAATGAATTTAATAAACCAAATCTGATTAAATATTAAGAAGTTGAAAAATTCTTTAGAATGTTAAATTCTGAGCAGATATACTTAAAAAACATAGGTCAAAATTTCTGAATAACCGGTCTGTACTGTAAGAATGAAATCAATGGTCCAGATTCATTCTGTCTTTTCCTGAGTCTACACAGATGTACACACAGTGGCACACATTTGGGTAGCCACAGGAAGGCCATGACAATGTAGGAATCTTCCAGTGATTAATCTAGGATATCAGTGCAGGGATGTGCTGTCAGTTTCATGGTCACCTCATCTGGGGATCACAGAATTGAATAGAGTTATTTCAGACATTGCTGGAAAATGACCCTGGGGAAAATGCTGGATAAAAGAATGACAGGTGGGAAGTGAGCGAGCAAGCTGTCAGACAGGCTTCAGCAGCATGAAGACTTTCAGCCCTGGTGTGCCACCTGGGATCAAAGAAGCATGAGGATGAATGTGCCATGAGAAAGTCGAGGCCACTTTTTAGAGGGTGATATTTGTTACTGAATCAAATTGATACTGCAAAACTAGCTTGCAGAAGTATAGACAAAATTAAAGATTGCTGGCCCACTAGACAAGAGGCTGGGGATGGGCCAGGCCTTTCCATGAAAAGGGTGGAAATGGAAGACAGAAAAGCTCTAGTGAGAAGAACGTGCTGTTGCTTTAACTAAAGTATGGAGTGATGAAAAGGATGGAGGCATCACAGTTGCCATACTTCACATCTGATATATTTGCTGTTTCACATACCCTTGGACTTCTCCCCTTGGCAGTTGAGGCACAGTCTGAAAAGGACTGACAAAGCTGTGGCCTAGCAAAACAGGAAACAGGGCTATGGACACCTGCTGGGTGAGGTGATTCTCCTGAGGGTGGCTCTTTGGAACAGTCACAACATTTTGAGTGAAATCTGGGCTCCAAGGCAATGGTGAAACTCCCATTGACTTGGAATGAAGATAATAAAATTAATTAGGCTCAATTTTGGCTAATCAGCAGATTACAGAACTTACTGTATTGGACTGAAGAGAATGCTAATATTAGTTGTATTTCTACAAAATGTCACAATTTAATGTCTTGTAGTATTGGTCTATCTTATCAGCTTGCAAAATAGAAACTTTAGAGTTCTAAATCAATGGCCAATGTATCCTATCTTTCTAAAGACTTAAATATATTACCACCCACTCCAACTTACCAGCATATTTCACATAGTAAATTGTTTACATTTACATGCAGGATGCCAAGGCTTCAAAATGTTCTTTAAGCTAAAGGAATTAATCTTATAGGTCTAGTATTGTATTGCCTGTATTTCTAAGACTACATGTCTTCATTAACAATTTGGAACCTTTCATATTCATTTACTGTATATCCATGAATAAAACATGCTTGTTTGCTACGATTTTTATCATTCTAAATGCATATCTAGTCTTTCACTATATAATTGCCTTTTTTGCAGTGTCCTCAACATGCAATCCAAACTTTGGAAATTGTTTATGATCTCTGCTGCATGGAAATTTGGCAAATGAAATGTAACTTAAGTGTTCCAACGTGAGGGTGAAGATCAGTATTTGATGCTGAATTCTGTTATTTATTTGATGTATAGTGTTGTACCAACAGTACAGCAGATTATGTGTGACATGATGTCATACAGATCTGCTGACAGCTGTAGTCGTGTTCCATCATGTTTTTGCCATGACTACTTTTCTGTTATTCACACTGTTGCAGAACTAAAGCAATTTTGTGCTGTTTTGCATTGGATTTTTGCAATACTGTAAATGAGAATACAATCAAAGCCTACCAATCTATAACAATATCCATCACTTTTGAGAAGAAATGAATTAAGGAGTAAAATTCCTCCGAGAGTTCACAATGTCCATTAATTTAATTAAATAAAAAAAAAAAAAAAAATCAACATGAACAGCAGATACCTGTTTAGTGTTGGTAGGAGAGAGAGTATCGTTTCTCTTCTCAGTAATGCTTTCTGAATTTGTAAGTAATTTACCTGATGCCATCTGAAAGAAAAATGTTTTAAAAACACTCTTTTTTTGTTGATGAAGATCTTAATGATTCAACAAAGAATCATAATTTCCATTGTTACTTAGTTCAAATTCTGAGCTATGAGGTTTCTCTCATAGCATAGCACTTATAAATCAAATAATTTCATAGCTTATCTCTAGGTGTTATATGAATATTAGGGTTCTAGGAAATACCAACAACAGTCTCCTCTATTACTTTCTATTATTCCCTTAAGTCTTATTGTAAAGGAGAGAGCAGAATACTGTGGCAATAGCACCAAAGGAAAATTGGTAGAAGATTATGAAAAGAATATTATTTTAGAAAGAAAAAGAGATACATAGGCAAGTAAAAAGAAGGCTAAAAAAAAATTTCATAGGGAAGAATATGTGGATTAGATAGAAGGCAAAGGGGTAACTAAATAAAGATTAAAAGAGAAATGACCAAGACTACACTGATAACACCCATCTTAAGGGACTCTTCAAGACTGAAAAGCAAGGAACTTTCCAGCAATACACAAAGCCTTCTAAGAAACAGAGTTCTAGTTTAAAAAAAAAAATTATCTAACCTGCTGCTTTTGTTCCTCTGCTTTGTCTTGAATAACAGCCTCACATGCTTCTTGTACATTTCTTCCTTTTTGAACAGTAAACAATTCTTCAGAAAACTCATCTTTCTGCCATATGAAAAGAAAATTAAGTAAGCTTATACACAATTAGAAGGTAGCAATTGTTGGCTACAGGCTGATTGATGCTCTGTGCAACAGAGTATAAAAAAAAAAAAAAAGGTGAAATCTTATCTAAAACCTATCACCACAGGTGTAAATCGCTTATGGCAAAAATATGCAGCAAACCCCAAATCATTCATTTCTGGACAAGCAAAGACAACATTTTTCAAAGTTGAGGGAATCTTTTTTGATGCAGGGAAAGTACAGGACAACAAAGTCTGAAGAACTCAAGTGGCTAGTCAAGAATCTGAGGAATGTTAACCAATTTGTAGCCAGCATAAGTAAGGGAAAATAAAGAATTAAGAAGGTGACACTATTAGGGAAAAAGACAATAAACAACAAATTCAGAAAATATTCAGGATTTCAGGAAAACAGTTCTAGGGAGGAAAGAAACATAAGTGAGACTCTAGAATGTTCAAATCTGTCTAAAAGTTGGAAATGGGAGAATGTGTTCTAAGCATAAAACATAACCAGGCAGAATTCAGATTTGTTCTTGTTTTCCTCCCTCCTTCAACTTCCCATCTGGACAGTCCATGACCACTCTGAATGTTGTTAACTGTACTTTATACCAGCTGCTTTACCATTCTTTTTGGCTAATACTTATTTCTAGCTTAAGCCTCAAAGACGGCACAACTAGTTTCAATGTACTTACACAAGATAAATCTGGACAACCATACTGTATTTTATGAAAGACTTCATGAATCCTTTAAAATTTTAATGGAAGAAATCTGCAGATTTCAGGGAACATCACAGTGGCACAACTTAAGGAAAACCAAAAGTCTTACAGTTATGGTTTAGTGTATTTCACATCTTTAGCTGTCCAGCCAAAAATTAGAGTCCTAAATAAGTTCTTATAAGAAAGTGTTGCATTATTAATTTTCCATTCTAGCATTAAACAAGTGAAAAATTCTGTATGATCTGTTCAATCTATTTTTTTTTTCCTCAAGAAAAAGTAGTCTCTAATTTTGCACTTGAAAAATCAAAGGGCTGTTTTATTAGAATCATAGAATCATAGAATCATTATGGTTGGAAGAGACCTCAAAGATCATCAAGTCCAACCGTACACCTGATGCCACCCTGTCCACTAAACCATGTCTTGAAGTGCCACATCTAGACGTTTTTTGAACGTCTCCAGGGACGATGACTCCACCACCTCCCTGGGGAGCCTGTTCCAATGCCTAACGACTCTAACAGTGAAGAAGTTCTTTCTAATGTCCAGCCTGAACCTCCCCTGACGCAACTTGAGACCATTTCCTCTCGTCCTGTCGCTAGTTACCGGGGAGAAGAGCCCAATCCCCACCTCAGTGGGGACATTCTGACATTCAACAGCCATGTAAAATCAGGAAAGATTGCACAATACAACATTTCCCCTTAATTTGTTATGCTTTAAAAATGACATGATGTGAAACTGAATTCACAGTCATGGCATTTCATATTCATGGTACCTATTTGTGTAGGTAATTTGATGAATGATTTATTCTTCATAAGATACAGACATTGACTGTTGAGATATTCTGGAAATATTTAATAAGATATTAGTTTTAAAACCTCAGAATATTACATATTATAAAAAAGTAACAACTGTCATTTGAAAAAAGTTGCAGAACTACTCTCTATTACAGAAAATTAATTTTTTATAATATTCCTTTTGACTTCTCTAAATTAAAGGTTAAAGTAATCAATAAATTGTTTATGAATGGCATAACAGTTTATGAATAGCATGTAACACATGGACTGGGAAGAGAACTTTGAAAAACCTAATCTGCATTTATACTGCAGTTTCTTTGTGGTCACAGTACAAGGCAAAGGCTTCTTTACATTCACCTAATGACTTTTGGAACTAATTTTTATTTTGGGCATCTTTTACTGCTTTTAAGTGTATTAATGGATAATTTTAATGTTCATTAGTTGTTGTAGTATAATTCCATGAAAGAAAATTGAAACAACATTCAACATCAACAAGAGGACGATATTTAAGCATCTTAACTCTTCCAGCTTCACAGCACTAACCCATCAGCTATTCTGCATGTGGGGGATTTTTGACGTATTACTTTGAGAGTGAGGGGTGTAGTAGACGGAGTCTTTATTACAGAAATCTAGCCTTCTCAGCTGTCTTCCATAATTCCTCCTCAGTTGATACATTATACTTAATTACACTTAAAGAAGCTTATCAGAACATGAAACTAAAAATGTTGTTGTTCTCTTAAATATTTATGTTATAAGCCATGCTTTTCTAATTCAAATTATTTTGGTTTTAACACAACTTGTTTTTAGCAATGATTTTTCCAATAGGGAGCCAAGGTAAGTTGTTTGACATTTTATAGATCTAGCAGTTACCTATATTACAGTACCAAGGGAAGAAGAAATATGAAAAAAAGTATTTGTCTAGATACTTAAAGAAAGTATGACATTTTCCCCTAAAGGTTACTTGAAAGCAGTAACAGTTCTGAAAGAAGCTGAGAAAAAGAAACCTAGGAGGAATATTTAGTGCACAAACAAGTAGCACTTCATTGATTCATTATGATCATTACCTAAGGTAATGGAAAAGTGAACAATTAAGAAATGCTTCCTACTACGATTGATGATCCTAAGTTAAAAGTACTGATTCAGAGAGTGAGTCTGGTAAGTTGATGCAGATACAATACATTCTCCAGATAAGAAAAAAAATAAAAATAATACCTTCATTTCCTTAAGTTGTCTCAGAGATCTACACAACTCATCAACAGAATTAACAATTTCTTTGTACTTTAATACGGCTTTTTCAACATACTTCTTTCCTTCTTCAATACCTACGAAGGTAAAACAACATGAAAGTAGAACAGAACGCCTCAAACAGATGGGTAACAATCAATCCACTTTGTAACCTCAATATACTACAATAATTACATTTTTCTGTGTTCTGTTTTGCTGAAGGAGTTCTGTGATTCACAGCAATGTGCTTTCTTACTTCTTACTAGCTTACTTGAGATGGGCCCTCATAGTCACTGCAGATCTTCTGCTAGGCTTCTCCTTGAACAAAATTACTTCTATCTGGTTAGTGATACTGCTTTAAAAGATTCTGACCTCATAAAGTTTCTCCTAAACTGGTTACTTTATTATACAGCTAGGAGGCACTTAGATCCCAGTTATAAGAAATAAAAAACAAAGGCAGGATGGAGAAGCTTTTTCCCATGTAAGGAACTTAAAAAATACAAAGCAACTTCCTTCTCCCAGTGTTCCTAATCAGCTGGTGTCAAGAATCCATTCTGTCAGCTCCTTTCCTTACAGATAGGAATGTTTAAAATATTGAGAAGGGTAAAAAAAAAAAAAAAAAAAAAAGAGAGAGAGAGAGAAGAAAAAAGCGATCTGTGCTCTCTAAATAGTCTTCTCCACACTAAATTAGAGGAATTTAAAAGCATAGATTGACTCTGTTGAAATTTTTTTGGATCTGCTACTTGAATTGGTAGGCTGCACATTATCCTTGCACATTTGGATAGTCATCTTATCTTTGGATAAAAGAACTTCAACAAGTATATAAACATTACAAGTGGGAGAAAAGCAGCAAAACCTTAAGTTTGTTGACCTTCATTATTTTCAGTCAACAATATTGCAAACCAATACAATTGCAAATACAATATTTACATAAAAATCTATATTTTTTGCTAATAAAATGCTTTAAAAATTTGGTAATCAAATACCACTAGTTATTCACAGTGTTAACCTAAAAAACTCACTCAGCACTGAGGTATATCACTGTAATATACTTTGACTTCAAAGGCTTGCCTGTTATGAGATAGCATAAGCCATGAAGTCTTAATTCTGAGCTCATAAATATTACAAGGACTTTCACACTTTGATTTCAAGGTGAATTCAGGTTGTATACAGAAAACCAAGTAACTATGAGACTGTTGAATACTTTCATATTTTTATTTTTTAAATATTTCTTCTGTAATCCTTCACCTCTTCCAGTCAATATTTTAAAACAACATTTGATTTTGAAACTTCATGGGATTTTCTTCTTAAATTAACAAATCTAGGAATCTGCTTCCTCCTGTCCTAAGTTACTGTATTTT